GTTGTATCAAAGAGATCCCCACTCTAAAAGAGGATAACTACATTGAATGGAAGAAAAGATAGATTTGGCCTTCATATTGGCTGAGGTGGACTGGGTAGTCACCACACCGTGTCCCAAAGAACATGTGGCACCGGTGAGGGAGACTGATGAGACTGATGCTGCATGGCAGAACAGAGAGCGAGACTTTGCTCCTGTAAAAATGTCTTTTGACCTTGAACATAGAAAGTGGGTCACAACCAATAAGAAATGTTTGGCTGTGATAAAGAATACAATTGAGCCTGCAATAGTGGGCTCAATTCAGACTGTGACACGGTCATAGAGTATCTAGAAAGAATAAAGAGTCAGTTCACTAGCTCTTCAAAGACATATGCAACCTAGCTGATCAAGCAGCTGGTGACAGAAATGTACTCTGGTGGTGGCAGTGGCATTAGAGAGCACATACTGAGAATGAGCAATTTAGCATCTAAGCTCAAACCAATGAATTTGGCTCTCAAGAATGAGTTTCTTATTCATTTGATTTTTGCTTCTTTGCCAAAAGAAATTGACATTTTTGTTGTTAATTACAACATACAGCCCGAGAAATGGGATTTAAAAAAGCTCATAGCCATGTGTGTGCAGGAGGAGGAAAAAATAAAAGTTTCACAGGATGGTACTATCAACTACCTAAAAGATAATAAGAAAAAGAATTATAATAACAGCTCTTCCTCCAAGTTACCTGGAAAGGGTCCCATGCTGCATAAGCCTCAACAGAACCAGTTCACAGTAGAGAAAGACCAGTGTCTCTATTATAAGAAGACGGGACATTATAAGAAAAATTGTCCCGATTACTTAAAGATGATCATGGCAAGGAAAGGTGAGAACATTATTACGTTCATAAATGAATCCCTGTATGTATAGTATTCGAAATCTACTTGGTGGATTGACTCAGGTGCAACTGTTCATGTTGCTAATTCTTTACAGGGATTTCGTTCGATGAGGACTACGGAAAGAAGCGAAAGACACGTTAAAGTAGCGAATGGAGTCCAAGCAGAAGTTGAAGCCATTGGAGATGTTTCTATAGAGCTTGCTGATGGTTTCAAACTTATACTTAGAGATGTTCTTTATGTTCCCTCGTTACAGAGAAACTTAATAAGTGTTTCATGTTTGGACAATGATGGTTATGATTGCCATTTTGGAAATGGCAAATGTAAGATAACATTTAATGATGCATGTGTTGGTCTTGCTATCTTACAAAATGAGCCTTATTTGTTATCACTACGTGATGATGTGAATGTTGTATGCGATGATGGGAACGTTGCGTGCGACAATGTGAATGTATCCTCGTTTACGGATGTAAACAGAAAACAAAAGAGAGCTCATGATGCGTTGTCGAAATTATGGCACTGTCGTTTAGACCATATTTCGAGGGGGAGAATAGAAAGACTAGTTAAGAATGATATTCTTCCTCCATTAGAGCTCTCAAATTTAGAACAATGTAGAGATTGCATAAAAGGAAAGTATGTAAAGAAAATTAAGAAAGATGTCAAACGAAGCGCAGGAATTCTACAGATTATTCACACAGACATCTATGGTCCCTTTCCTGTAAAGAGTGTGGATGGTTTTGATTCATTCATAACATTCATAGATGATTACTCCCGTTATGGCTACATTTATCCAATCAAAGAAAGAACAGAAGCATTGGATAAATTTAAGATATTTAAGGCAGAAGTAGAAAACCAACACAATTTAAAGATTAAGATAGTCAGGTCCGACCGTGGCGGAGAGTACTATGGTCGGCATACCCCATATGGCCAAGTTCCTAGACCTTTTGTAAGGTTCTTACAGGAGAATGGCATAGTAGCCCAGTATTCTACATCGAGCGAACCTCAGCGGAATGGAGTAGCTGAAAGGCGCAATCGTACCCTGATGGATATGGTGCGCAGTATGATAAGTTACTCCACCTTACCGATGAGCCTGTGGATGGAGGCGTTAAAAATCGCCATTCATAATCTCAATAGAGTACCAAGTAAGTCGGTGCCCAAAACACCGTATGAGTTGTGGACAGGAAGTGTACCCTCACTAAACCACTTACGTGTGTGGGGGAGTCCTGCTGAGGCTAAAGTATTTAGCCCAAACATTAGAAAGCTAGATCCCAAAACAGTGAGTTGCCATTTCATTGGTTACCCAGAAAAGTCAAAAGGTTTTCGTTTCTACTGTCCAGATAAACATACAAAGTTTGTGGAAAACAAGACACGCAGTCTTCCTAGAGAATGAAATGATAAGGAGGAACATAGTAGCTTGAGAAATTGACCTTGAAGAGAAGCGGGTGTATGCGCCCACTCCAATAATTCATGAGCCATTTTTCTCACTAACTGCTGTCGCTGCACCGACAGTGCAAGACACTATGGTGACAACACCTGTTATTATCCCGCCTGTGGCAACAATAAATAATGATGAGGAACCTGTTCTTCAGGATCCTATAGAACCAATTGCCACACATGAGGGGGAGCAACAAGAGCCTCAAACAGAAGATGTGCCAAATGTGAAGGCCCGTAGAAGGTCTTAAAGAGTTAGAAAATCAGCTATTCCTGCTGATTATGAAGTGTATAACACTGAGGAATTTCAAATGGAGGATGATCCCACCTCATTTGAAGAAGCCATGAGAAGTGAACATTCATCAAAGTGGCTTGAGGCCATGGAAGATGAAATGAAATCTATGAATGCCAATAAAGTTTGGGATTTGAAAATAATTACTAAAGGAGCCAAAACAATAGGCTGTAAATGGGTCTACAAAACAAAACTTGACTCTTAAGGGAATATAGAGAGATATAAAGCGCGACTTGTGGCAAAAGGCTTTACGCAAAGAGAAGGGATTGATTACAATGAGACCTTTTCTCTAGTCTCATGTAAGAATTCCTTCAGAATCATAATGGCATTAGTGGCACATTACGATTTAGAATTACATCAGATGGATGTAAAGATGGTATTTCTCAATGGGGACTTGGAGGAAAACATTTATATGGCACAACCAAAAGGTTTTGTCATGGAAGAAAAAGAACGAATGGGATGCCACCTAAAGAAATCCATTTATGGATTAAAACAAGCTTCAAGACAGTGGTACTTGAAGTTTGATCAGACAATAAGAAATTTTGGGTTTAAAGAGAATGTAGAGGACAATTGTGTCTGCACAAAGTTTAAGAATGGAAAGTTCATCTTCCTTGTCCTATATGTGGATGATATCTTACTTGCTAGTAGTGATATCAGTCTACTACTGGAAACAAAGAAGTTTTTGTCCTTAAAATTTGATATGAAAGATTTTGGTGAAGCTTCATTCGTTTTAGGGATCCAGATTCACCGAGATAGAAGTAAAGGGGTATTAGGACTGTCACAAAAGATATACATAGAGAAAATCTTAAAGAAATTCAGTATGCACAAATATAGTCCATCTCCTGCTCCTATAGTCAAGGACGATAGATATGGGGATTTTCAATGCCCTAGGAACCAATATGAAATCGATCAAATAAAAGCGGTTCCATATGCTTCAGATGTCGAAAGCTTGCAATATGCTCAAGTATGTACGCGCCCTGACTTGGCATTTATTATCGGTTTACTTGGCAGATTCCAGAGCAATCCTGGAATAGAACATTAGAAATTGGTAAAGAAAGTCTTGCGTTATTTACAAGGAACGAAAGGCCTCATGATGACGTATAAAAGATCTGATTCACTCCATATAGTGGGATATTCAGATTCTGATTATGCGGGAGATGATAGAAAATCCACGTCTGGATATGTATTCACTCTCGCAGGGGGAGCTATTTCATGGAAAAGCTCAAAACAAACCGTCACTACATCGTCCACAATGTATGCCGAGTTTGTAGCGTGTTATGAGGCAACGGGGTAGGTGAACTGGCTAAAGAAGTTCATACCCGGTTTAAAGGTGGTTGACGACATCTATAGACCACTAAAGTTATACTGCGATAATAATCCGGCAGTACAGTATGCTCACAACAATAAGTCAAGTGGTGCTGCCAAACACATTGACATAAAGTATTATGTTGTGAAAGATAAAGTCTGGGATCAAGTCATAAGTCTTTAGCATATAAGAACAGAAAGAATGCTCGCGGATCCGCTTACAAAAGGCTTACCACCCAACGTGTTCAGAGAACATGTAGCCGACATGGGTTTAAGGGAAAGCCTATAATTCCTAGACAAAAGAAGGCCTAAAGATAAGTATCTATTTCAGAACAGAGTAGTGTGTTGTAGCTGTTAAATCTATCGGCAATGGACCGTGACGATGAGACATGCTCTATGCGCTAATCTGTAATGGAATAAACAAAAGTAAATGATATGAAAGTGAAAGATAAAAAGAGATCAAGAGAGAGATTGTTAGATTGATCTCTAACCTAACTGGACCCAACGGCCCAGTTGAACCTTTGATTTGCGCCCTGATCGGGGGCATCCAGCCCACCATGGTTGGAGGGCCTCTGTCACCCTGCGCTATAAAAAGAGGTGAGGGCCGACGGCTCTTATCACGAGGTTGACCTGAGCCGAGCTCCCCACCGACACTCAAACCCTAATCCGATCAAAAGGGGCGCAGCTAGTGACAGGAAGCCACCAGCCGCGCCGCCCCGCTCCGATGACGGCAACTGCACTGACATCTTCCCCGACCATCGCTGCCCGTGCGCAGACTACATCGATGAACTTGATGGAGGCCACTGGATCTTTCTCTCATGCAGTCTCAGGTTCGAACCCATATCTCTCTATCTCTCTGTCTCTCTCTCTCTCTAGATGAACTAGGGCTTATTTGGATCAACTGGTTACCTAGAAGGCCCTCGGTTCTACCCTCGATCCTATGGTTATTACAGCTGGGTCATTCGATGAGCTGCTTCCTCTTGTCGAAAACCACTTGTAGGAAAATGAAATCCACCGTTGCAAATTATTGGTGGGGAGGGTCCGGAGATAATCATCGTATCCATTGGCTCTGGTGAGATGAACTGACTAGACACAAATCCGAAGGAGGAATGGGATTTCGCGACCAGCTTCTCTTCAACAAAGCTATGCTTGGGAAGCGGGGTTGGAGACTAACCACCCGGCCGGACAGTCTCTGTGCAAAGGTGCTAAAGGGTTGCTATTTTCATGATGATGACTTCCCAAGCTGCACGAGGAAACAGCGTGCTAGTCACACCTGGCGGGCTATCATGGCCGGAAAGGAGGTGCTGGACAGAGGCATGATCAAGAGAATTGGCAATGGTGTCTCGACCCACATATGGCGTGATAGATGGATTCCCCTGCACTTTGATGCCAAGCCAATCACGCCGGAAGAGGGACAGGATCTTACTTTGGTCTCTGAACTTTTGACTGAAACTGGGCTGGAATGAGCAGCTGATCCGCGATGTCTTCTTGCCGATTGATGTGGAGCAGCGATACTGCGAATACCAATCCGTCCACAGGATGATGACTGGTGGGCATGGGAGCCAGAGAAACATGGAGAATACGCTGTCAAATCTGCCTACCGTAAACTCGTGGTCATGGCACGAGGTGAGATGGTAGGGGCGGGGGGATCAGGTGACGATACGTGGAGTAAAATTTGGAAATTGGTTGTCCCTGCGAAAGAAATTCTTAACAGGCGGCACATAGATCCAACGGCATTCTGTGAGCGGTGTGGTGCTGATCGGGAGTCTATCAGTCACGCCCTCATGGAGTGCACGTTGGTGAAACTCTTCTGGCATCAGATCAAGGAGCGTACCAGGGCTAAACCGCTAAACTACCGCGGCTGCACCCTGTAACCTGGGCAAGCGACCTGTTGAGAGGGGATATTTGCAGCGAGAAGAACAGGAGTATCTTCATCATTGGCATGTACTCGCCGTGGACTCAGAGGAACAGAAGGCGCCATGGAGAAGGCGAGCTGCCGATCAGAGCTGCAATCCAGTGGTGCGTCGATACGGCCCTGGACCTCTGGCAGATTTGCAAACCAAGCCGGCAGACTGATTCACGGCGGCCTATGCCAACATGGAGTTCACCGCAAGAGGGCTGGCTCAAGTGCAACGTAGACGGCGCCTTCTATCCGGGACAGGGTGAAGGAGCGACGGGAGGTGTTCTACGTGATGGGCTGGGGGCCTTCGTGGGGGGCCGAGCGATATGGTACCGTCATGGGCACTGACCATGGAGGCGTTGGCTTGCCGAGATGGAGCCGCCTTTGCTCATGAGAAAGGAGTGCAGAAGCTGATCATTGAAACCGATTGCCAAGAGCTAATCAAGCTGTGGGAAGCCGGTGATGACCAAAGGTGATGTTTCTTAAATGAGTGGAAGTATCGAATCGCAAAAAAAAAAAAAAAAAAAAAAAGCTTGCTTTAGCGTGTGGTGAACACCGAGCAGTCACCAGAACACCCATTCACTCCATGGAATCCATGGATGCATGACTCCAGGTTCTGCCTCATCTGTGGATAATTTTGTACTATAGCCATTTTCTTCTTCTTCTAATTTTAGAAATTAATTTTTTGTAATTTTAGCAATTAATTAAAATAGTAATTCCCGCGCCTGCCCACACCCACCGCGTCACCCGTCTGAAAACGGCCTGTCTTTCTAAAATGCTCTGTTTTCTGAAATCATATGAAGTGCTCTGTTATCTTAAATTTACAGAGACAAGCCTCTGTTAATCGCCCCCGTCTGAAAATGCTCATATTTTCTGCTCCCAGGTCTTATTTAGATTGTAAATTTTGCAAGGCACAGTAAACGTTTCGGTTTGTATTTGACAAACTTTGTCCGATCATGGCTGGCCAGGCTTAAAGAGATCATCTGTGGTGACAAAAAGCAGTAATTAGTTATTTTTTTTACCTATATTTAATGCTCCATGCATACGTCTAAAAATTGATATAATGAAGAGAGAATTTGGAGGTAATCTAAACAGGCCCCTAGTAGTGTCTATGCTGCAAGGCACAGTAAAACTAGGCTCTTGCATTGCATGCTGGCCAGGCCAGGTGAGGTGACAAAAGCAGTGGCTGACCTGTCTCCGGCCACACCATACCGCACAGATCCATAGGCGGCAGAGCCGTTCGCTGCTCCCTGCGTCGAGGTCCAGGCGTGGACATCGAAAAAACTACCATGCCTGCCAGCCACGCCAATTCCAAGTTTTTTCACTCTCTCCGTCACATCAATTTTTGGACGCATATATAGAGCATTAAATGTAGGTAAAAAAAAATAATTAATTACACAGTTTGGTTGTAAATCACGAGATAGATCTTTTAAGCCTAGTTAATCTATGATCGGACAAAGTTTATCAAATATAAACGAAACGTGATACATTATCCAGATTACTAAAAAATTACAATCTAAACAAGGCCCCACCCTACTGGCATCCACCGACCAACTGAGAATTGACCGAGAGTGTGCTCGCATTGCAGATGCCACCCAGCCTGCTTTTCTCATGCTGTCCATAGCTCCTTCTGTTTTTCAGCACTACTTTAGCAGTATTTTTTAGTAAAAAAATAGTGTTTTTGTTAGAGGAGTTAAGGGCCTATTGGGCCTTAACCCATTAGGAGTTAATTAGTCGCTTGCTTAGGGGCCAAGTCAGGCACATTGGCGTAGGATTCAGCCATGGTCTCTGATACCAGATGTTATGGGGCTGCTAGGATTGAGAGAAGAGAGAGCGATGGCGGCTGACGCGCTACAGTTCCCGTGGCGCTACAGTACCGCAGGTACTGTTCACTTGTATGGGTGCGAGGGCGAGGGAGAGCCGGCCGTAGGGCGTTTGCCCACGGCCGGGCAAGAGGGAAGGATTTCCTTCTTAATTCTTGCTTGATTATAGATTGATACATCTCCTCTCATTATATAGAGAGGTCTGACTTAGCCCTTAAGCAAGCGACTAATTAATCCTAATGGGCTAAGGCCCAATAGGCTCTTGACTCCTCTAACAGTTTTCTCTCACAATAAATCAGCATCGGCAGCAGTATCAGCCAAATTTGAGCGAACAGGGAGAGGACTCCTACCAAGCATGGGCGTGGCAGTAGCTAAGCTAGTGAACAGAGTGATGAACGGCAAAACAGGTTACTCCTGCTAGATCCGAACTACTCCTTCCATTAAAAAAAGAGTGATAGTTGACAGAGAAGAATAAGAAGAAATCACATTAGTTGTCCAAATTACTACTACATAAAGCTTGGTGACTGCTATATACTGAAGTGTAAAAGAAGCTCGCTATGGGCGGAGAGAAAGTTGCACTACTCTACACATGTGGATCATTTTGACTTTTGAAAGTTGTGTATGTCTGTGGACCTTGACTGCTATATACTGAAGTGTAAAAGAAGCTCGCTATGGGCTGATGTGGTCGAGCATTTTTTTTGAAAGTCACATCCCCACCTGAATTTTATTGCTCATATGCTGCCCTTGGGCAGTAGATGGTTACAAAGATTGAGAAATACATCATTTGCTGTTTTAATCTTTTGAAAAGCTATTACATAGACGTTGTGAAAACACCGATCCATATATCTGCAACAGCCCTATCTTTGACGGGCAGCCGCAGCCTCCAGAGACTTGCATCAGTAGCACATGCCATGAGTTTGTGCCGTATTGTTGCCCTCTCCGATCTGAAGACGACTCCATTCCTTCGCTTCCAAAGTTGCCAGCAGAGTGCGATGAGGGTGCTGAAGTGCGTTGGTAGGAAAGGTGCGGGCCTGGATAGGTTTTGGATGTTGCCTGAGGAAAGGTCGAGCATTATTTCCCGTTGCAACGCGCCGGTACGACGCTAGTAAAACTAATACATAAGTTATGAACTTATAGGGATTAAAACATGTTTTTATTAGGGTAAAGTACACTTTACAACTCTCAACTCGCGCTAAAGTTCGATTTTCAACCTTCAACTTGAAACCGGTAGGGAAAACCGGACAAATTTGGTCCTTTTTAATTTTTTTATTTTAGAAAAATTTTAAATTATTTTTTGAGCATCTTAACATCCTCAAACGAAAGAACTATTTTTTCATTTTGAGTCTACAATTTTTTCATAAAAAACGAATTATCGCGGAGAGGGTGTCAAAAAGTGACAAACCTGGTTTTATCGGCGTGATGAAGATTAATTTTTTAATTAAATTATAGACAAGTTGATGAAATATATATAACTTATGAACCCTAATTTTTCATTCCGAGGACCGTTAGATGCTCGAAAAATAATATAAAATTTCAGCACCATATTTTGTCTCGTGATGAGACTCAAATTTTAAAAAATAGAAAACCCTTCAATACGATGTCGGATGAAGATAATTTTTATATGTAAATTGTAGACCTCAATGAGATCTACAACTTTGTAGTTTCGATTTTTTTCATTTGAGGACAGTAAGATGCTCAAAAAAATAATTTAAAATTTCGGCGCCTCCCGAAAATAGAAAACCGCTTTTGAAACCGGCCGAGGACCAAATTTGTCCGGTTTTGATAGTTGGAGGATGTTTCTTGACCGGTTTTATAGTTGAAGGTTGAAAATCGAACTTCGGTGCGAGTTGAGGGTTGTAAAGTGTACTTTACCCTTTAATATATGATGATGATCCATTGCCAACAGTGGAAGGAAGAGATGATGATGATGAGAAAAAGCAGCAGCTTCGTTCTCAAATTAAAGCCTATGCATGATCTATGCATGCATGTGCGAAGCTAGTTCGGCTCTCTTTGTTTCTTGATTTCTTTTAAGATGGGCTGTTTGATTTTTTTTTTAAATGGCGTTACTGATTGTCTAATTAAGCCACCAACAGCTAGTAACTGACTCCATTGTCCCCGTTCATTTCGCTGAAAAAACAAGCCGAAACACTGTTCCACTGATTTATTGTGAGAGAAAAATATAAAAACAAACTAAAAAAGACGAATTATAAAATAAACCAACACCGATAAACAGAAAAGGCACCAGTAACGACTAACATGCATGGGGTGACATACAAGAGGACGTACGTACGATGGAAATGCAGGCAGCAGCTAGTACCAAAAGTGTGTGGATTCGCATGGTGAGTGAGAGTGAGAGAGGGCGACTTGCTATCAAAATCCAACTCTGGTAGACGCTACAGTGGTAGCTTTATTATTAGTCGTCCCTTCTCCATAGCTAGCGAGCAGCGGCTGCATGCGCAACAACACAGCTAACCGACGGCCGACGGTTGCGATGCATCTTGCCGAGGTAGTATCAAATCTAATCTAATAATGCACAGCACTATTACTCTACTAGGAGTACCACTACTATAGTGAGTGTGATCAGAACGGAGAGCGGACGATTAGGCCATGTTTCAAACTTTCAACTTGCATTGTATAGTTCAATTTTTAATCCTGAACTATAAAACCAGGTATTTGACACCCTCTAATTGTCAAAAACGAAAAAAATAGTTCTTTCGTTAGTTTCAAACGCAGTTTACTATTTCTAAAATAATAAAAAGGGTAAAGTACACTTTACAACCCTGAACTTACGCCAAAGTATGATTTTCAACCTTCAACTATGAAACCGGTCGAGAAACACCCTCCAACTATCAAAACCGGACAACTTTGGTCCTCGGCCGGTTTCAAAAGCGGTTTTCTATTTTCGGGAGGCGCCAAAATTTTAAATTATTTTTTTGAGCATCTTAACGTTCTCAAATGAAAAAACTCAAAACTACAAAGTTGTAGATCTCATTGAGGTCTACAATTTACATATAAAAATTATCTTCATCCGATATCGTATCGAATGGTTTTCTATTTTTGAAATTTGCCGACAAAATATGGTGCTGAAATTTTATTATTATTTTTCGAGCATCTTATTGTCCTCAAATGAAAAAAATTAAAACTATAAAGTTGTAGATCTCATCGAGGTCTACAATTTATATATAAAAATTATCTTCATCCGACATCGTATTGAAGGGTTTTCTATTTTTTGAAATGTGAGTCTCATCACGTGACAAAATTTTTTTCATTTGAGGATAGTAAGATGCTCGAAAAACATGATGAGACTCAAATTTCAAAAAAATAAAACCCTTCGATACGATGTCGGATGAAGATAATTTTTATATGTAAATTGTAGACCTCAATGAGATCTACAACTTTGTAGTTTTGAGTTTTTTCATTTGAGAATGTTAAGATGCTTAAAAATAATTTAAAATTTCGCGCCTCTCTAAAAATAGAAACCGCTTTTGAAACCGCCGAGGACCAAAGTTGTCCGGTTTTGATAGT